CAGGTGACCTATGCACAAATTTTACTTCCCCCGCTATATTTACCGGAAATGTTACGTCACGTCACCTATGCACCAATTTAGTATCCCCGCTAAATTTAGTAAAAAATTTACCTCACTGACTTCTGTAACAATCCAGTTTGCCAGCTAAATTTAGCTGAAAATTAACGTCGGTGACCAATGCACCCCCCAGTTCAGATTCCCTGCTATACTTAGTGGAAAATTTACGTCACGTGTCCGAGGCACCAGGTCAGTTTACCCGCTAAATTTAGTGAAAATTTACGTCAGGTGACCCATACACAAAATTCAATTTCCCAACTGAGTTAAGCGGAAAATTTACATCACGTGACCTATGCACAATTCAGTTTCCCCCGCTAAACTTGGCGGGAAAATTTACGTCATAACCTGTACCCCAATTCAGGTTCCCCGTTAAATTTAGCGGGAGACACCCCACAGGGTACACAACAGATCACGCTCAGGACGCTTCCACACAGAAGCATTATAGAGATACTATAACGAAATTTCGGTTGTTATTTCTTGGTGTATTTGTGTTCAAGGAAGAAGCATTACATCAGACACACCAATCTCTTCCTGAAAAAGACAAGAAAAGGTATTATAAACGAATTAAACGATTAGCAAAGAGCACCTGGTAGATGTCGCTAACGCCTCGTTTGTGATGCCCGTCAAGGAACCTTGACAGGTACTGACGATAACTGTCTCGCCTCCACCCACCATGAGAGAAGAGGAGGAGGAGTAACTCTGCTCTCCCCGAGACTCTTTTTTGTGTGTCCCGGACGTCGCTGTTGTCCCTCTGCAAGACTATAGACTATTAACCTGACACTCAAGATTCGCACAAAAGCAGCGTTGGGGTTAGTTGCGGGGGCCCGATTGCTTGCGTGCTTCGGCCACTTCGGTGACTGGAACGGCTAGGACATCCTCTCTACGTCAGCCTCGCCGCAGCTTTGCTCGTCCCGAAAAAAACTACGTCCCGATTGCGGCGGATGTCACGTGCTCTCAGTTGGCTGCTCTCCAAGCACTTGCCAGAGTAGGCGGATTATAACAAAAAATACAGCTATAAGGCTCATAATACAAAACGTGCAATTGCAATTTACGAATATTGTGGATCATCTTCAGCTTATTTCTGAACACAACGGGTATTACTTTAGTTTTGTTGAAGTATCCCTTTAAAGAGAAGACAATTCAACTTACCACATTTGCTCCTTTGGCTCGCAATATGAGCAAGAACAATGAAGTGCGACGAGTTCGAAGAGCTATGGAGCTCAACGACTTTATGCGAAAGTACAAAAGAGAGCTCACCAACTTATACAAAGAGCAAGATGCAGCACTGAGCGCAAATGGGCAAGGAGCCATTGGAGGGTTCACTCTCATCGACGAGACTGCAGACAACAAAGCGCTCCAAGGTGAACGTAGCCTCACAGTCACACAGCACAAAAAGACGCAATCCCTCTACAGACACGCGTGCGTCTTCACTGAAAGAAGGGAGGCTCACGCAGAATGCAAAAAAGTCAAAAAAAGATAACAGTATCGTCCGGCAGTTGAGAAAAGTATGCCAGAAACTCGCATGTCAAGGGCGCATACTACGAATGAGATGGGTGCCGAGACACCCCGGTATCTACGGTAGCGAAGAGGCCAATAATACAGTCAGAACGGCGCTACAAGCTGAGCCCGCGCATCCAGACCAGGATCGTCAGAAAGTTACGAAGGCAATATTAATATCCTGCCCTTCAATCCAGACGAATTCCTGTCCCTGGGACAGATAAGGCGGCGGAGGGTCCTAGCAGCATGATACCTCAAGACCCGTATGGAGAACTTCCAGCCGAACACAGTCGGGGCGACCGATTTATACTCCACCGCATCTGCACAAACTCGGCAGTAAACCCAACCCTGAAAGTCTAACTGGGCAGTATAAGGCGGATCCGACACCCAGACGAACCAGGACCCGTTATTACGGTTAACTGCACTCGATTTAAGCCCGCGAACTTAGCCACCACGGAGCATCTTTTCTGTAAACGTCCAGCTACTATACGAACAAGACGGGCCATAATATATGACCTTCCCGCTCAGCATCGCCCCAAGACCCTCTCAGAGTGGATAAGGCCAGTTGGCGAAGCCCAGCAGAGGAAGATGATACTCGGGGGACTCTCTCTTAAAATTTGTCGGAAAACCAGCATCAGAAATTACATTTAAAAAGTTAAACTCTCCATATATCCTATCCTATCCCCTCCTCCCCTCCTGCACAAACACACACACATGCAATAATGAACTCAGGTCAAGGTGGTGAGGATGAAAATAATAAATTACATTTCAAAGAAACAAGACACAATTGCCTCCTCCATCAATTATTTTTCTTACGCGTCTCCTGTTTCTTAAGCAGACGACAACAACGACGGACTTGTGTGTATCGTTTGTCATGGGGTTGGGGTTTCGCGCTTGAAGATCGATTGGCCGGTACTACATCGCGTAGTCTAGCCAGTGGTACGTTGCCATCTTAAAAATAATGTGTAAATGTAATTCCTGTGATCTGTGCAACTTTCTTTTTGATCAACATATGTGCAGCTTGTTGTAAACCACAAACGATAGCGTTCATACTACTTCAAATATATATATATATTTTTAATCTCGAATCTGTGTATTTGATAATACACTACTTTGAACATATTTAGGGCACATAGTTTCAACGCCACGTGACTGTGGAAATGAGAGTGAGGGCGACTGAAACTGGCCAATTTTCGATCGGCTCCTTTCGAGCAGAATGAATACTGATTTCGAGCCGGAAATTGCGTTATGGGTAGTTGGGCTCTTATAGGTCATCTTCAAACAGAAGCGTCGGCAAGCATAGATACTCTGTCAGTCTCCCTTTCAGTCGGCCGGATATGGCACTTCGCAAACAACGACGCCTCGCAGAAAGAAAGAAAAAAATAAAAGACAGCGCGCGCTCGAGGGAAGATCTGCGCATGCATCCCGGTGGCAGCGTGCGGTCGAGAAGTTGAAGAAGGTTGAAGTGTAGACGCGAGCGTTTTTTGACGTGCGTGGCGTAAGCGGCGCGATGCAGCTGACGTCAGCTTGCGCTCGCTTGCGCGCGGGATTCGCCGGAGTATGACAGCGCCATCTATATTTTTCACACAGAATGTGTTTATGCGATAGGTTTTATGGGGAATGTGTCTGGCTCATGTGTGACACAAAAGCGGTACGTGCACGCCAAGGCATCATAAAGCATGCATAGCCCATATCAGGCAACGCAGAAGCATCCAAAGCACATATAAGGCATATCTAGTAGCAATCATTATTACGTAGTCATAACTAGGTAATCTCGCTGACTGCAATCAATCTGAGCCAGCGAGATTAAGCAAAAAGATCAGCGTGAATCAAAGCCCGCAACACGCGATCTGCAGTCCCATGTCTTTGCCGGGCGCCACAAGAAGGTGAATCAGAGCGCAAGCTGCTTGACCAAGTAGTACTTACCCCGGACGGTTAGCTGCGAGAGCACGCAACAGTCCGCGGCAAGTAATACTTAGTCCATCTCAGCCCACTTAGTCCGCAGACGACCGTCGGCGGCGAATCATTGTCCAGCATGTGTACCTAGTCCGCAGGCAATCGTCGGCAGTGAGACATACTTAGTTTAGAATAGTTAGTCGTCAGGCATGTGTTCGCACACGCAGCTGACACCCGGATGACAAAGCGTTGCTTCCCACGTGAACTCACGATTTCATGGGGTGAATCATAACGTACCAAGGGATGCCTCAGCGGGCGCATAGCACAGCGGGCGCATGGCGTCAGAAGGACAGACGGCGGTCAGTAGACAGCGTAAAGTGCGCGATAAACCCATTCTCTTCACGATTTCATCCGTTACCACAAGAGGTTCTTCGCAATCTAAGATCGCGGAGAATTCAGGGCCCCACGCGCACCTACAACAAAGCACAAGCTTTGGCAAACGTCTATTTGAAGCATGATCATTTAGGAAATTTAATCTTGTCTCAATCAATGTAATAAACTCTTGTCGGTAGCGCATTTGAAACCCTTGAAGTCTGGCCGTTACCAAGCGCAGCAAACCATAACAAACACGTAGTGCCCGCACGACCCCAATCTGTGCTCTCCAGGTTTCTCAAATTGATCAAGGCAACTTTACTTTTTGCAACAACTGTCGTCACCTTAAATCCTATACTTCGTCTCATCCTACGATGGACTAAAGGCCAAAGCCACGGGCCGCCAGGTCCAATCACGTTCCACGCTAAACTATGACACGCTTAGCATTGCATATAACTTTGGACGAATAATGCTACGAATCCAAAAACGCTGCGTCATTTTTATAGCTTGGACACTGCAAAGGGCCAGTACGTCGTGGCTTTCTTTGCAATGTAAAATTGTTGAGTCACTCATTGCTCGATCCGATTCATTGTCTGCCCATTCCCATCAGTGATCCAAGATGCGGGTACCGATACGTGCATCGAAGCGAAATACCACGCAATGTCTAAGTGGCTCGTGATTGGATCTGGTGGTTCGTCGTAGGGTGACACGAAGTATAGAGCGCTGTAAATTTGAAAGAAAAACTAGTTCATACACGAAGACCGGAAACGCGAAGTCACTGCGCACTATCTGCACTTGGTAGGATCCGCCGGCGGATGATAAAGCAAGAAAAAAGTTGCGCTTTCGGCACTGCTTGCCTGGCCCCTCTCCTCGTACCGTCGGCTACGCTCGTCATTAAAGTAAAATGAGGTACAGATATCGGGAACATGGCGAGGATGATGCAATCTTTTTTTCTTTTTTTTTTTAACTTCACTAGATCTTGCTGTCTTGTAAAAACGACTGAATTTCAGAGACGCTTGACTAAGCGCTTCTGAGCCTCGAGTTATCAATAGCTCATTTCGGCACCCCTCTTTCCGTTTTGATCGGCCTATCTACTCGAAGCGTTTCACGCTCAAATAAAATAACGAAATAGATAAAATCACAAAAAATACCCAGCCATCGTCTACACACGCGTCAGTCATCAATCACACTAGCAATCTACGAAGACAGCTTCCACTCATCCCATTTAGTAACGTCGTTCGACGGCAACAGCATCGATCTCATTTTACCGCCAAGACGCTCCGACAGTTTTCGCCGAAATGAAGACCCTTCTGTTTCTCGTTTCCTTAACACTCGTTTCTGCGGCCGATGTTCCCGTGGAAGACTTTAGAACGTTCCCTGGAGCCCTTTTTCTGCCAACAGTCCTCCTACCATACGCCGCGGCCGTTACAGCTGTGGTCATACCATTGGCGAAGACCTTCCTTGTCCACGCCCTCAAAGTGCTTAATCTTCCGTTCGAAGTACTCGTTGTACTTTACTTGGTCTTTTACGCGATGGTCTTCGCATTTCCCGGGATTGCTTCTCTGCTGACTGTCACCGGAACCCTGTCTGCTAGGTCCTTAGAAGACAGTTCTTCTTTCGGGGCCGCGGGCATGTCAGCCTGGTTACAGAGTATTCTGCCTTCCTGGACCTCGGAGTTGAGCGCTACTACCCTGGAAACTTCGACGACGACTACGCCGTTGTGGTCCTCGTTGGACACTCGAACGACGAGCACAACGCTTCCCACGTTCACGAGTTCGACCACTGCGCCAGCGTCCCGTTCGTCCAGTGCTGAAGAAGTCCGAACACCGAGCCCGGTGTGCTCTTCGTACCGGGTTTGCGTGTCTGTGGCCAAGCTCGTCAAGGACTATCCCGTCAGCGTGATGCTGATGACTTACTTGGGGTGAGTGGGAGCTGGTATGGCTCGTCTTGTATTCCCCAGCTCTCAATTTATCGTGGCTTGTATTGCTCAGTTATTTTACAAAAATGGATTTTGAATCGGCAAACATATATTTTATAGATAGTGAAACCATAGTTTTGCAGGCGAGTGCTAAAAATGCTCTAGAAATGACCACTCCCTATTGATTCGTGCTTGTTCCGCCAAATGTTTAACCTCGTTGAGTGTAGCGTAATGTTGATGGCTCCTCAAAAAATGTTTTTGTACAAAAAAATTGGGAACGATTCGGGATATAGACGTATTCAGCGCTGGAGGAACTGAACGCTGGCGCCATGGTCAAACTCGTGAATGTAGCAAGCGTCGTTCTCGTAAAAATTTTTGAAAAGTGGGCAGTTTCATTATAGTGTTAACCAACACTTCGCACGACGCCCTGCCACTTCGAGAATACGCCATAAAGCTTCAGTAACATTCTAAGTGGCAAGGTATTTAACATAAACGTGTCAGGACTTTTATACTCCCCGCTAATTTAGACAATTTAGAAAATCCGTCAGCGGCTTGCGTCTAAAAAATAAACCTCTTTGCGGCTGCTAAACACTTCCTTTTTCTTACTCTTGCTAAATTAGCGGAAGATGACTCTACAGATAAAGGTATGTATTGTAAAGCGTTGCTGAGTCACTGCGATTGACTCGGTAATATTTTATTCAAACCACCATTGTAACCCCTCAATGTAAAACACGCTTATAGTTAAGATTTGGATCGCCCTAAAAATACTGTAGCTAGCGGTTTTTTTTCCCGCTTTTTTATGTTTCCCATTCTGCTGCAGCGACTACCTCCAAGGTCTTCAGTACGAACGTCCAGTTCGGGAAGGCATGGCCGGCATGGACTGCAGTCTCGCCTACCCTGGCTGCAGAGAGTAGCCTGAATCGCTCATAGACTGTTACTTTTCACGGATAAATGTAAACGTATTTTACACAGTGCACCCGGTGAGACTCATTTCGGTGATCGTCATGAATGACACAGCGTGTTCCCATATCATTATGTACGCCAAGAATAAAACCTGTTCATGACCCACCATTCGACTTCTGTTGAGTTTCACGCAATAAATTCGCGGTCGTCGAAACAATGGGCAGCATTTCGCGTTCTGGTTAAATATTTGCTCTCAGAGAACCAAGAAAGACGAAGAAACGATCATGGAGCAAGATGCGCGAACATAAGGTATGCCCTACATGTCTTAAAGCTCTGGATGAATATGGAAACTTTAGATATAAATGCTGAGTCATTCATAGCCTCAATAGCGCCCAGGCGAATTTCGTTTGATAGACATGCGGATAGTTGCTTTAAATTAACAATGTTATATCTTCGCTCTAACTTGGAAATAGCCAGGGATTACCTTTCACAAGTTGAAGCTGCACAAGGCTGGAAGATGGTAATCTAACGCAGCACTTCAATTATAATTGCCATGAAAACAATGCATGCCAGTAAAGCAGCTTGAAATTATAAGCTTCAATTTGTGCTCCACACTGGGATAAGGGTCGGTGACTGAGTAAACACAACTTACACGCACGAGAATCCATCCCGCTGGAACAAAAGGACCTTTGACTTCATTCAGCTGCTCTATTCCGCAATTCGCTTTTCGACGCTTCAATGATTTACGTTGTTTGTAGGAATATCGAAGTCAGGCTTTAATCGGGGAACATCAGGCGGCTCGAGCTTGGCAGCTCGTGCCGGCGCAACGAAAGATCAGGCTTACTCAGCACGTTTCTAGATCTACCGCCACGGCGACTGGCTAGGCGACGAGCAAATTGTTCGCTGCCTCCGCAGTTCAAAGAAGGGAAACTTCTCATCCGCGTTTTGCACGGCGGAGGCTGGGAATGACGACGCACCAAATGAGTCGCGCTGGATCTCTCAATCGTCAGACACAAAGTTGGGGCCGAAGTTGACGGACCGCACCGCACGACGATGACTTCGCGCTTTTGTCGCCAGCGTCCAATCGGCGCGCTCCCCGAACTTTCGGTTCCAACTTTGTGTTTGACGAGTTTAGGGCCCCTGGGGCCCTAAACTCGTGAAACACAAAGTTGGAGCCGAAAGTTCGCGGAGCGCGCCGACTGGACGTCGGCGAAAAAAGCGCGAAGTCATTGTCGCGATAGGCCAATCAATGCTCTCAGTCAACTTCGGTCCCAACTTTGGTTTTGTCGAGTTTAGAGGCCTTGGTATCAACGGGTCGCTGGCAGTCGCGTCTGTGGTGGGGTTCGTTCGTGTTAAGAAAACAGTCTGTGCTTGCACGCGATCTATGTATACTCCTAAAGCAGCATTTTGGTGTTGCCGTACGAAGAACACTGTTAAGCTGTGCTTGCGGAACGCCGTCATTTGTGTAGCACGGAATGTGAATGGTGGCGTTCCCAACGGCTGCTCAACGCTCATCACGGAACTAGTGCAGCATCGCTGGAAAGACTAGACACGTGTGAGTACCAAAGCTCATATTTGTATTTTGCTTACTACGCAAGTAGCCGCTGTGACTTAAAGCTCTTCGTTTAACTTCTCGAGTAGCTCGAATGAATGTCACCTTCACCTGGGGGCCGGGTGTGCAGATATTAAGTTTCATGTCTTCTCAAGAGCAGGTTTATTTGGTTTGTGTGATAGCTTTACACTTAGCTACTGAGAAAGGTTTCATTTTTTCTTCATTTGTTTTACTCTGGCAATTTGCAGTTATTGTTTACCGTAATCTCCCGAGGGAAAATCCGCTCCCATATTTGGCATGATTAGCTCTCTATTAACAATAGCGAAATATAGCCCGCTTTTAGTAACTGCATGGCCCTGGCCAATGGTGACCTGGGCAGAAATGGTGTTACTTTGACACGACGGGTTATAAGCGAACATTGCTGACTGTCAAATTTGGTTTATCTCTCCTTCCTGAGATCACAAATATCGCTGGTCACAAAATCTAAAACTAGCATTTACATTTCTCTTTTGTGGCACACCAAAAATTAGCCAACTCACTATTTTCACCCGATTTGCTTTGGATTTTCGGTGGGCCATTGCAGAATATTACGGTAGGTTGTTTTTTTTTAAATTTTACGGTAGTATTTTTTTATTGATTAAATAATTTGAATGATCTATATTTTGTTTTATTATAAGTAAGTACATAGCCGACTCTACGAGCTGACGGAACCAATCAATTTCGAAAGCGCACGTACATGATTGGTTCAGCAATTGTATAACACGTACGGAAACATTACGAACGTAATATTGGTGCACCCTTGACGTTGTTTGGTTGGTCACATTAATGGCGTCAGTGGCGTCTGAGCTTCAGTACGTACAAATTATAGTAGCGGGTCTAACGTTTTGGGTCCGGAAGTGTATACGAGTCAAGTCTACACAAACTCGGAAAACATATCCTTCGTTCTTCACGACATTTTTCGTTTCTACTTCGAGCTGCCATGTAGCCCGTTAAACTTATAATTTCACTAGAGTCATTGTTAGTTTTAAGACTGCGCTTCCCATGTAATTTAGCGTTTCATTAACAATGCGGGAAATTCTAGTCCCGTGCGAGAATTATTAGATCTTTTAACGCGGGCCGGAACGCTGACTGTTGATCCGCCTATTTTTTCGACTCCGGGTGCATGTCGAATTTATGGCGGATACAAGTCGCACAGATGTAATGGACCTCTTTCGAGAGTCGTGTGCCAATTATTGCAAGGTCGGAATCATTGCACAATGGAGAGAAAACAGACGTGGTGGAACATACAAGTCGTTTCATAAGATAGCGAAAGTAGGAGTGCGTCCAACGTAGGTGCCGACGAGCCAATTAAACAACGTCGAAAGTGCAACGTTGCTGCACTCATCACATTTCTTCTTTTTCTCTTTTGTTGCTGTTTCTGCCTTTTATTCTAACCAAGCGAATCAACTGTGCTGTGATGTTGCGGTTTTAGTTCTCCATTGTGCAGGTATTTCACAGCTGCCAACGGGGGGGCAGTTTTTCGAAAGCGGTCTATTCTCAGGAAAGGGGGGGGGGGATGTTTACATGACAAGCCGGCTTTTTACGTCACGAAAATTGCCACTCGTCATTTTCAATTTATGTAATATAGCCTGGTAAATATGTTTTCGTATTTTTAAGTCACAGTAAGTGACACCAAGTGGTAAGATTTTAGATATGTTTTGTATGCTTTTGGCTCGTAAACCAATTAAATATTTGGTTTCTTTAATTATATCTTATTGTAAGCCTGTTGGGATATTGGTTTGTTTATTTGATCGCGTTCTATTGACCGTTTATGTGAACATCTACATATAAATGTCAACTTCTGCCAAATGGCTGTCACAGACCCTGTTATAAGTTAAATTTTCATAAATAAAAAAATACAAAAATAAAAACCTCAGCGTATATTGTCTTTAAACTTCCATCATGCATGAAATGCAGTAAATTCGATCGTTTAAAATTAAACCGTCGTTTCGAGGAGTGAAAAATATCATTTATTTTTTTATTGGTTTCCTGGGTACAATGAAAGGGAAACTGTGTGCATAGGTAGATAGTGTGGCGTCAATCTTCCCGGCAAATATTGCGGGGAATGAAAATCCTCTAGAGGTCACGTAACGTCCTCACTGCCAATTTTCTAAATAAATTTAGCGAGAAAACTGAAAGGGTGTATAGGTCGCGTGACGTCACGAAAAATGACATCTATTTCCCGCGAAATTCTGCGACGAAAGTGAATTGCTGCATAGATTACGTTATGTTAGGCCACGTTATGTCAACTCTCTGAATAAATTTGTCGGGGAAACGAAAGCAGTGTATAGTTCAAGCGACGTAAGTTCACGTGATATCAATGTTTCCGCCCGCCTTGGCGGGGAAACTTAATTGGGGTATATATCACGTGATGTCAGGTCACGTCATATCAAATGAAGTCACATGACCTAAATACCGATTTAGTTTCCAAGATAAATTTAGTTAAAGATCACGTACGGAGGCATAAATATTTGGGTTAAGGCGGTTCCGTTAAATAGCGTTTCATGCTAAGTAGGCGACTGTTGATCAAATGTATATACGTATATACTTGGGTTGTGTTTTTATACTTTATACAATTTCCCGACCAAAAACATGGATGTTTTAGGCGATAAAGGAACTTCACCTTGATTGCTAATTTTGTAAAACGAAACAAACAAACATGTTCATTATTCAGTTGCGCATTCTCCAACTAATGCACACTGACTAAAACGCCTCAAAGCTAGTACAAACCAGCAAGGTTGTATAATCTTGGAGGGCAGAATGGACGACCATTTGGATCTTCGGCACTCCATAAAAATGCAACATTCCGTCGAGGAAGATTCGTTCATGCACTCTTGATTCAGTCGACATTTCCATAATAAAAAGAAAGAAAAGATAACGCGACATGCAAAATGATAAATTGTCACGATTATTCGCCAGCAACGCACTTTCAGAGCCGAACTGACAGCGCAAAACGAACGTCAAGTTGTTGCGAAATCTTTCGCTAGATTCGGCTGTCGCGCGATGCCTTTTCTGTCCTGTGGTCCCCCCTTCCCCCATCCCTCCCCATCCCTCCCCATCCCGTTAACTCCGCATTCGTATTGCCGTTATTTTGTGGGACCCGCGACTGCTGACGTCGTCATGTCGGAAACGGTGGTTTCCGCTCATTTGCACGCGTTTTCCTAACCTCACGACGTGACTGTCGCAGGCGTGGAAGGTCTTTGACGACTCTGCACCTGACTATTTTTTCCCCCCATCTTTATTTCTTTTCCACGTTCCTGGGTCGGCTTTCTGGATCGAGTTGTGAGGCCGGAAATTACGGTAGTTTCCTTTATGGCGCCTGCGTTGGGGCCGTCCCGATTTTCCCTCTATGCAAGGACAGGGATTTGACGAGCAGGCACGCGCTCGAGTGGAAGGTTGGAGACAAGTTTTCGCAGTTCCTTGCATGCTTTTTTTTATCTAATATTTTCTCTGTTTATTTATGCGGCTGAGATTTGTGAGCTCTCCACAGACTGCTTTGTGGCAATCCACCCGAGCCTCTTGGTAAAACGGGTGTTCTTCGGAAGCGTGTGAACGTCTTGTTTTTGTTGTCGGTG